TGATTTTGAATTGAAAAATTGAGTCCTTTTTCCAGGAACACGGTTGTCTCGGGATTGAAAGGTATTGATGATAAGTTTAATCCTTCTTATCCTCGTGCTGATCATTAAATGTTGTCAATTTGGAAACCACTTCAACTGGGCGTACTGACTTTAGCTCAAGCTGTCTAATAATCCCAACCTTAGGCAATTTATCGTCATGCCGTTTTGTTATTAAGTCAGAAATCTTACGTTTTTTCATGTCCGGAAAATCTTCCGGAGACAGGATCCTGGCCAAATCACGCCGGTGTTTTGACTTCAGTATCATATGCCTCACTAATTTCTGGACAGAAGCTTGGTGGACATATTCGTTAACCTTTTTCTAGTGGTATGGCCTCTTAAGGTCACAGAACTTAGGAGTGATACCATAACGTTTACAACGGTTTAAAAACGAAAGATGGGAATAAATACGAGTGGGGTCGAGTGAAATACGTGATCCAGGAAGAGAGAAGACGGATCTTACGAGGCAAGAGAGACTGATAAAACCTATGGAAGGGGGAATGCTTAACAATATGGCAGACTCTGATCAACACCCCCAGCACAAGAGTGAAGGGGGTGAGTGTGAAGGGTTCAAATGAATGCCGCTTAACGGAAAGGGAATCAGAGCTTAAGCGCTCCGTTGAGTAAAGCTGCAGTGTATGTACTTCTATGGCCTTGAGAAATAGCGCCTGGAGTGAAATGCATACAGAAACTGGACCCGGGTGAAATCGGTCAACCAGAAAGATAAGGAACGGATCTACGAGGCAATGAAAGGATCCGGATTGGAGGTCCGAGTCGGATAAGCCCATCGAAGAGGGGGGTCGGGGTAAATAGCGAGTGTGATAAGGCCACACTCGGTTTGACACAAAAGGCACATATTTTGAAGATTGGAATGTAAACAAGTGAGACTGTGATAGGGCGGTAGTGGAATAAGAATGTAAAGAGTAGATAGATAGACAATGACAGAAAGAGGAGTGATAGTGTAGCCGTTTTCGACAGAACGCTTGTCGAAAGATTGACTTCATTTGTCTCTTACGCGTTCGTAGCTTGGTGCGGAGAATGGCAAAGATCACTGATGATGCCGACTACGATGCCGGCGAAACGTTTGAGAATGTATCAAGTCCACTGTTAGATGCTGGGAATCTTGACAACTACTATGGCAAACGACTTTGGACTAGGTGCCTTCTACATAGTCTCCCTGAAGACAAGACCAAGTTGCGACAACGAGGTCAATCCACTTTTATAAATCGAAAGGAGACTGCGACCATAACAGAGGCCACAACATCTTGGTCTTCATAAATTTTATTTATTTGATTTTCTTAGGTTCCTCTCGTGCCCCTGGCAAGTAATAGAACTTTAGATTTGCGGGCTAAAATGCAAACGAATTTCTACTTGAAGTACACGATCTTAGTCATTTTCTAACCACTTTTTGACATTCAAGATAGATCTAGCTTTACTCAGTTGACATCGCTTTGTGAGTAATTTCATTTTGTCTTAAGCTTTTTATCTTTTACGTAGTGATAGTTTTTGATGCAAAAATTTTGAATAATCTTAACTGGGAGTGCCTCTAGCTTGCGGACAATGTATATTCATACTTTTCGACGACTTTTTTCGTGAATTTATTTCGCAACCTTTCTCTGTTTTTGATTTTGGAGTACCTTGCATTTAAACCGAAGAGTTGAAGTTATTCGTTAATTGGTCTCACCATAGGTCAAAAGGGGTCGCCTTGGAAATATGACTGTAGGTTTCTGCGCAGAAAGTGCAGTAGGAGAACAAAGATTTTAAAGCGGGAGATAAGGATAAGAGGTAGGACAGAATCAAACCTAACGGTTCGCTTGCCAGGATATTTCTTGTGGAGGACGTTTTAAAAGGACTGACACTTTAAAAAGCCGGTACGTTAACTTGTTTTGCCTGCACCTATTATCATTCATTGCACGTTTTCCTAAACTCTTCGGCTGGGTCCGGAGCATATACCTTATTATATATTCTATGTACACACTTACCTCCACTTGTCATCACTCAGTCGAAGTCCACATTCTGATATATCCTCTGTTATGTGAAGAAATAAACATTACAGTCATTCTTGTTAGGGTTTCCTTATAACTTTGAAAGGATACAGTTTGGCCCTGTTTGACTAGCTCGATCGTACTTCGGAGAACGCACTTTCTAAGCGTCCTACGATCCCGATCACTCCTTGCTGAACTTTCCTCCTTCATCTAACTTATTGTCAAGACATAATGCTTTACGATAATTCATCAAGCACGAACACAGCTGTCCCGTGTGAGCTAGTTTAGATTTTTATCCACATCTCTACAGCCTCCCTTATTTTTGGGTAATCTTTTATGTATGGGCCGTAAGGTCTCCCCCACATAGACGATACCACATGAACACAAGATCTTATTGCAGCCCGATTTGAAGAGATCATCCGAAACTTCTATAAAGGATAGCAATGGTGCTAAAAGTGTTATTTTTCGCCTATTACAAGAAGTACCACAACCTTCACAACTCATGCATATTACGAGCATTGTGTGCACACAACATTCAATGAAATACAATCACATGCGATAACATTGCTGGATAGCCGCTTATTTAGGGGAGGATCCAACTATTGGGTCACAATTGCATTATCTTCACTCTTCATCTATATGCAATTCATTTTTCAACATACATGCAGGAAAAGCAAAGTGGAACTCGTAAAATCTCTCATTGAGTAAACAAAGTTAGGCTCTAAGAAGAGGGTTGGATTGCAGCCCGCCACATCTCATCGTTTCGTGCTTGCTGAGTTATCGTAAAGCATGGTTTCATTCTGTGACGATGTCAGTCGCATGACGGAAGCTCCAAGGCGACTCCTTTTGGTGAAAACAGCCTCTTCAAACAAAATGAAAGATACTCCAACATCAATCTACCAATGGATTCTTCGAGGATCAATTTTTCTGCATACCTCTAACTTTATTTTATAAACTTGCTGGTATTCTCATAAAATTCTTCTCTTTCATGCATTTTCTCTAAGCAATTTCTTAATTTCTTCCTCTGTTTATTTACTTATAATTAGAGGCTATTTATTTATTATCTTTGTAAAATTAGGCTATTTTTTACATAAATATTAAATTCAGACCTGCTTTTAAAACATCTTTATTTCAATTTTATTTCGCGATTTATTTTATATAATTCCATGATCTTTTTATTCCTTTACGGCTGTATTCTTTTTTTTTAAATTAAGAAACTTGGTTTTTTAAAATCTTGTCTCATCAACTATCAGCTGTAGCTTATCTCTCTCAAGTTCAACAGATGTTTATTAAATGGGCAAATCTCATGCTCATTTATTTGGCTATTGTTTAGAATGCTTAAGCTGTCTTTGGAGAACATCCAAACTGGAGCATCCGTTCAGATCGGGAAAACAATTCTTGACAACGTAAGCTCCTTTCTAATGTTTCATATTTTTTTCCAACTGATATTTTTTGAAAGACACTCATTTATATTTCAACTTATCTTGTTATTCTTTTCTATTTTTTGCTATATTTTTATTTCTTACTCTGTCAACTTTTGATTTTGTTTTCATATTCTTCTTCTCACTATTTCTCGCACTTCATTCTTTTTTTATTAAGCTGTATGAATATTCACAATTCTCATCATCTCATTATATTTTACCTCCAGCTGCCATCCGCACAGATTTATTCGCGTTATTGTGTCGGTCAATCCTTCGCACTACTCCATCTAACACGCCTTATCTCTGCTGATGACCATTTAGCCCAATATTTGGTAGACTGCCAACAAAAGACCCGTCTTCGCATGCTACCGCTTTCTTCTTATCTCGTCAAGCCGATGCAGCGCCTGACGAAATACCCTTTGCTTGTACATAATGTAAGATGTAATTACCCTATTTCGCTTAAGGGCAGTATAATAACCTAAACTAAATATTATTGTTTCTTTGCTAATTTATGATTCACTCTTCTAATCCTTAGATTCTGAAGGCCTTGCTACCTGACGACATTGGCCGCGATGCTCTTGAATGTGCCTACCAGCGTGTACTTTCCCTTCTTAAGGAAATTAATGAGGCTGTCCGAGTCCGCGAGAGCTGCCGCCAGCTGGCCTGGCTACAGGACCATTTACATCCGCCTGTGGTTCGCCTCTGTCTCGAGCCTCAACCTTCTCGAGAGTGTGTCTCGACTTTGCATTCAATTGAGGATCTACGAGCTAATCCACGAGCTGAACCTCCTTTGAATTGCGACATTACAACATTTACAACAATTACTCATAAATCTAGTAGGAATATCGACGACACCGATGGTATCATTGACGATTCGGAAACAATGTCCTTAAAACCACTTTCAGACTCTCTTTCCTTACGAATTCCGCCTTCCATAGACCCTAAGCTGCCTCATTCATCCTACATCACGATGAATGACGCTAATCAAGTGAGACCAGCATCCGTGGAGACTCAATTTCTATTGTCAGACGACACTAATGTAGTGGGGCCCCGTCGTCTTCTCTATTCCGGAGATCTCTATAAGGTTGGAAGTGACTTATAACTATTCGCATATGCAAATAATATATTAATCTAAGCTTGTGTATTCAATGCTAACACTGTTTTGTTATTGCATCTTAGTTTTAAGATCTTATCTTCACATATAGGACTTTGAAATATGGGTATTCACTTTGACTTTATTAAAATTTTGGGTTTGATTTGCATGAAACTCTCAACTAACTCTTCTATTTC